TTTTTTTTGTTTCCTCGAATGAAAAGAGACATGAAAGGAAAGCGTTTTGCTGATGTTGCTGAGGTGAAGGAAAAAACGACGGAGGCGCTGTCAAGCATCTCGAAAGATGAATTTAGACAATGTTTTGAAAAATGGAATAAAAGACTAGACAAGTGTATTAGTGTAAGTGGAGAGTACTTTGAAGGGGATTAAAGGTTTGTGCTTAAAATTTGAATAAATAAGTTTAAAAAAATAAGTTCGGTTTCTTTTGGGTACCCCCTCGTATATGCTGTTCCTGAACACTGACAATTTTTACTAGCAGCTTTCCATGTGTTAAATGTTTTGCAAGAAAAATTACACATTAAAGATTTTTACACCATAGTGAACGATTTTTAAGTGTTATTACATATTGAAAATTTCACTTATTTCAGCATGGGAGGCATAGCTGTAAATTAGAATTGCTAGATGAGTGAGAAACAGTCTGCTAAGCACATGTAGATCATGTGTTGGGTCCATAGGTGAACAAAGCAGTTTCGTTGAAGTAACATGCTGAGATGGACACCGTTTATCACACAGATAATCTAAATGACTAACGCAAAGAGCAGAATGCTACATTCTAAATTCATGTGGTAAGTGAAACTGTAGATCAGTCAGCATGGCAAAGTTTGCTGAAATACTGCTGGCAGGTAAGTGCTGTAAAGATAGGCCAAAAAGCAAGTGGAACTAAACTTTACTGAGAGTAAACAGAAGAAATTATTCATATGGGTAATGCAGATATGGAATGGGGACAAGGATGGTGGAGTGATCTTGCTGACTGCAATGATAAAGTAATTTAAGAAGCATCTGTAGCTGTAAAAATAAAGCTTAGATTAGAGCACAACCTGAATATATCTGGCAGATCACAGTCAGCAAAATTCTACTCCACAACGTGCTTCTTAAACTTTTGTAGGGCATAGAAGACACCATTTTAAAAAGGGCAATACACACCTTTGTTGCCAGAATGATGACCTGGGTGTTGATGCAAATGCCATGCCAGGGTCATGAGCAAATAAACTCCCAATGTATAAAAAATTCACGATACTAAAATGTTGTCAGATTGCCATGCAACCAATATGGCTGTTGGGGTGTGGCAGCTAATATAATGAAGGAAATGTCAAAAAATATCAGTGGTGATTCATAGGCAGTAAATCAACAAGTGACAAAATTTTTAACTTGAAACAATGGAAAAACTTCAGAATATGGGATTAAAACATATTAATTTATTGATTTTAAAACAGATTTTAAGACATTAATAGACAGAAGTTTTTATCTGGTCATAATAGACTTGGGGATTCTTGATAAACAGTTTGAGATTAAAAAGAAGGGATTAGACATGTTGACCAATTATCATGTCTTCTATTTAGAAAAAAATAAGATGCTGAAGTTGAAACCGAAGTTTTGATATTGATTCATATATAATTTGAAGTTGTTATGGAAAATACATGTGGGGGGTCTAATAAATTGTAAAAATGATTTGGAAGAAGAAATTAAATGCAGAATTATAATAGGAAATAGCTGTTATTGTGGCATGGCAAAATTGGCTAAATCTCAATAACTAAAGAGGAAAACTAAATGACAACTGTGTAAAACTGTTATACTTCAACAGCGCACTATTGATCCGAGAGGTGGAATGTGAGCAAGGCTCATCAAGCACTTCTTGCAGGTTTTGAGAGAATGATTTTAAGGAGAATCTACTGAGTAGTAAAAAATTATGGAATCTGCCAAAGACATAATAAGTAATTATATAGTTCATTTAATGATGTTGATATAATTAAAAAGAATTAAAATAAATAGACTGAGATGGGCAGGACATGTTATAAGGAGAGAAAATGAAAAAATTATAAAAAGAATACTGATCGTAAATGAGTAATATGAAAGGAGGAAAGGCATACCAAAACAGATGGATTTCTGGAAGTTGATCATGGTTAACTGGAATGAAAAGGCACAAAAAAGGGATGGCTGGAGAAACCCACAAAGAGTTGTTGTGCCAACAACAATTTCATTAACACAAATCTTAAGTTGTTATCGAGAACTGAGAAATGAAATGTATAAATATTAACCCTTTCTGCCCGAGTGATTCCAATTGAAGCCCATATTACGCGGCGAATGATTCCAGTTCCAATTGGTATCATACGTTGTAGTTCCGTTCTTTGCCGACAGATCGGAGCAGTTCTTTGATCGGTCGCTATCGATTGTTCATTCACATGCTTCTAATGCTTCTGATGTTCTGATGTTTGTTGACATGCAAATGGCGTTCGAAGTTCCGACTGCACTTGATTCTTTATAAATTACTAACAGGTATGTATTATATATATACATTTTTGCAATTATCGGTGTCTGTTGATTATAGAATTAGAGAATAATATGCACATATTGCATTTTTAGAATGTATTCCCAAAATTACAATATTTGCGTCCAAAATATAGTGATTTTATTTGGAATCACTAGGTCTAGGCCATGTGCGTATTTTTACGTACGATGTTGGTATTTATTAGTAATTACACGGTTTATTTAGCAAGTTATTTAGTTTCTTCTATCGACATATATCACTTTTGGAGGTGTTAACAATAAAAAATACAATAGAAATTATATATAATCTTGAGTACATACTGTAATATATAGTTATGTAGGTTATTTTTCGTGATATCAGATTAGGATTTGTAGGTTATGAATCAAAATGTAATTACGAATTTTATATCTTTTTTTTATAGAATATGTTAAGGCCTGCGGAAATTGTAGCAATTTTAAAAGGGGATGTATCGGATATTGAGGATGATGTGGAGGCGGATATATTGAGAACAGTTTTTCGAGATCCAGTTTCGGGTGAAGAAGCTCCTGGTGGGGAAATTTTGAATGTAGACTGCTTCAGTGTGCCTGTGGAAATTCACATGATGAATGACTATGAAGAAGAAGATTTAGATGACACACCCCTCATTGTGAGACTTGCAAGTCAAAATCAGAGCGAGGTACTTATACACAAAGTAAGAAATAAAAGTTGGCGACACAAAAGCATGGAACCAATAGATGTGACCTATAATTCCACATATTCTGATCCTCCAAATGATGACATCAGCCCATTGAATTACTTCGAAAAATTTATTGATAACAGCATCATTCAAAACCTAGTAGCAAACAAATTTGTATTCTACACAGAAAACAGGAAAGTCCATCAACACATCAATAATCGAAATGTCACATTTCTTGAAATACACATTTTAGCTGGAGTTGTTCACGTGCCAAAATATAGGATGTACTGGGCTGATACTACCTGTTACGAGCCTATAGCAGGAACTATGCCACGTGATCGATTTTGTAAGTTGAGGAATTATTTGCATGCAAATAATAATGATAACATGGTTCCAAGAGAACATGAAGACTATGATAAATTATTCGAATAAGACCTTTTGTGGATTCTCTGAGAAATAATTTTCTAAAAATCGAACCAGAAGAGTACAATTCAGTAGACGAGATGATGATTCCGCTCAAGTCTCACACATCTGTGCTGCAATATATAAAGAGCAAGCCACACCGATGGAGAGTAAAAGTATTTGTACGGGCTGGTGTAAGTGGTATAGTTTATGATTTTGAAATCTATGTAGGGAAGGGGACAAGAGTGAAAGATGGTCCTTTAGGTATGAGTGGCAGTGTAGTCTTGAGGCTTGTAGATGATTTGCCAAAATATCAGAACCACAAATTATTTGTTGATAATTGGTTTGCTTCCTATGACCTGCCTGTGGAACTAAAGAAACTGGGAATATATATGGTGGCAACCCTGAGAAAGAACCGATTGGCAGGATGCTGTTTGCAAACAGACGCTTCTTTGAAAAAAAGAGGTCGAGGTTCGTATGATTACAGAGTAGAGACGAATGAGAACGTCATCTTACTAAAATGGTTTGACAATAAGGCAGTGCACCTTATCTATTCTAATAAAAGTCAAAAGCCCATTGAAAATGTAAGACGATGGTCAGTTTCTTCTAAGCAATATGTGAATGTCCCTCGGCCTGCAATAGTGAATGAATACAACACTTTTATGGGGGGCGTTGATCTGCACGATATGCTTCTTCAACTCTACCGAACAAACATCAAGGGACGTCGGTTCTACCTCAGAATTATATTTCATCTAATCAGCATGGCATGCGTCAATGCATGGCTGTTGTATAGAAGACATTGCAGCCAGAAAAATGAGAAATACCGACCATTGCTTGATTTTGTTTGTGATATTGCAGCAGGTCTTTTGAAGAGGGGTACAACAGAACCAAGAAAGAGCGGGCGTCCAACTGATTCACCAAAGCCAGGACCATCGAAGAAGAGGAGAATGGAAAAATCAACCCGTCCTGTCGCTGATGTACGCTACAATAGTGTAGGCCACTGGCCTCAACACGAACCTGCCAAGTAAAGATGCAAATTGTGTATCAAAAGTTACTCTAGGATCAAGTGTGGGAAATGTAATGTTTCACTCTGCCTCAACAAAGAAAAAAACTGTTTCAAAGATTTCCACATACCATAATTTGAATGCTGTCATGTATCAAAACCAGCAAAGGTTTTCAAATGTTTTGTAATATTTAGATACACATGGTTAGAGTAAAACGTGAATTATAGAAAAGTAAAATGTTTATATTTTGCCTTCCCTAGCTGCACCACAATGTCCCAATGATACCATTTGGAATCGTTTCAGAATTTGTACGCCAAAATTTATTTTTATAAATATGTCTGAAATTTTTGTTTAATTGGACCTAAAGACAAAATAACTTGAAAGAAAAAATTATTTCATTTGTAAAAAAAAAATTCAGGTCAGAAAGGGTTAAATTGTGAAATGAAAAGTTTAGATATTCAGAGAGGATAGCAATTAAATTCAATTCTTTATTATTTATGTGCCATGTTAACAGCCGCAAGGCCAATTACAGACAGAGCACAGTGTAGATGAAAGTAATTCCATTATAAACAAACACATAAGTCATAGACAAATTACAGTCAAGTACTTGGGAAAACACAATAATGAAGAAAAGTAAACAAACGATAATAAAAACAACAATAATAATAATTTCATTAACACAAAACTAAGTGTATTAAGAAGTGAGAAATGAAACATAAATATTAATTAATAATAACGAAATTAATAAAAATAATGATAATAATAATAGTTAAATTAGTTCAGTATGAGATATGTTTCAACAGAGTTTTTGGTCCAAAGAAGTCCAACGTCCCTACAGACAACATTAGCAGCAGAAGCGCATCTAGCAGAGGGGCAATTTTTACTAACAGAACAGACATTGAACATATGAAAGTCTCGGATATATAGAAGAGGGACCCGAAGGCCAACAATTTCCAAAGCAGAAGGGCAAAGTACAGAACCACGATAAACTTGAATAAGGAAGAACGCATTAAGATGATATCTCCTCTTATGCAAGGTGTGCAATTTCAATTGTTCTAAAGCAAAATTGTAACAGTGATCTACTTGAGGAAAAGAACGTTTAAAACAGAGAGCCGTAAATTTCTGCTGAATGTGTTCTGATTTGTTTGCATCAGTTGACGTAATGGAATTCCAGACTACTGAAACGTATTCAACCTTGGATCTAACTAAAGTAAAATATAAAATGAACATGCATCCAAGGGTTGAATAGTTAAATGTGATACTGCGAATTATACCTAGCATCTTAATACACTGTGAAAATGTAAAATTAACATGATCATGGAAATGAAGTTTAGAATCAAGGTATACGCCCAGGTCTTTGACTGAATATGTTCGAGTTATAGTGAAATGAAGAAGTTTGTATTCGTATATCAAATAGTTAGTTTTCCTAGAGAATGTTATAACTTTGGTTTTGTCAGCGTTGGGTTTCATATAGTTCGCTACACACCAGCTACGTATAGAGTCAACATCAGATTGCAGAAGATTACAATCTTCAGGACAGCTAATGGCACGGTAAATTTTAATGTCATCTGCAAGGAGTAGGTACCTGGAGTGCTTAATTGAATCACACAAGTTGTTTATGTAGACATTGAAAAGCAGAGGGCCAAGAACAGATCCTTGTGGAACACTGGACAATACCGGCGATGAAATAGTTTCAGCAATACGGACCCACAATCGTCTGTTGGTTAGGTAACTGCATACATAACCACCAGAAAATCCAAGGGCACTCAGTTTGTGAAGAAGCAAAGAGTGGGGAACAAGGCCGAAAGCAGAAGTTAGCTCAAAGTAAATGGCATCCACTTGACGCTGAGAGCCAACCAGGGGAGTAATAAAATCAAGATACGTTACTAGATTGGTGGTGGTGGATTTACATTTTGTGAAACCATGCTGGCATGGATTTAATTTCAATTTGAGGTCGTGTGAAACATGGTTATGGATAACATATTCAAATAATTTAGAAAAATTGTTAAGAATTGAAATAGGTCCGTAGTTGTTGACTGAGGCACTATTGCCTTTCTTAAAGATAGGAACAACTGCCGCTTTCTTCCATAATGCAGGAAAACACTGTTGAGAGACACTAAGATTGAAAATATGCTTCCAGACAGGTGCGAGTATATCAGAACAACCCTTAATGACAAATGCTGGGATGTTATCAAGACCGGCAGATTTGGATGGTTTCAGACATGCAATTGCTTTAAAAATGTCTGAAATAGAAACAGGTGCTAAAGATAGAGATCCCAATGATGATGATGAAAGGGAGGGGACGACCCCTGGAGAGGAAAGTGACTGAAAGTGATCAGCAAATGCGTTGGCAACTTCATAGTGGTCTACTAAATGAGTACCATCAACTGTAAGGTGAATAGAAGTGGAGCTTTTTTCCCTAAAGGACGCCACATATTTCCAAAATTTCTTGGGATGTGTCTTAAGGTTCACATTAATAGACTCCAACCATCTAAGTCTGTTGATCTTTATTGTAGCTTTGACTAGTTTACGATAGAAGAAAAAAGTATCATATAGGCTGGCGGATTTATGCTTCTTAAAGCGCCTGTAAAAGTAGTTCTTTTTCCTAATGTAGTATCGTAAAGAACTGGAAAACCAATGTGGGAATTTAGACTTGGTGATGAAACCACGGGGAATGGCTTGCTCCATAGGATCTTGGACAGCCGCACTTAGTCTGGCGGCAGCAGCGTCTACAGAACTGGTGTCATACACACACGACCAGTCATAATTTGAGAGAATATTATATAATAAGGTATAATCACCAGCTATATATTTACGATATGAATACTCACAATTTTGAGTAGGATTAACAAGAGGCAGACTAATGCCAGTAACCATAGGAGGGTGATAAGTATCGGGCTTTTTATTCCTGAGTCAGGAAAGGTAATATTATAGTCATTAAAGTTTTTGAAAACCAGATCAAGCAAATTGCTGCTGCCAACAGCTTAGATGCACTGCTGGAGGTTAAGTAGACATGTGGAGGTGTAGATCACATCACCTCTGAGTTTAGAGTAATAATGGGAGTCAGGAACGGCCAGACCATGATTCCAGTCGAAACCAAGAGCGTTGAAATTCCCCACCATAATAATAACACTAATAATAATACTGAGTTAATTGTTATTTATATTCATGGAAATAATAATAGTAACAATTATACCATGTTTAAAAATTGTTTGGGGAGAACTTTCCTGGCTCCAAATACGCCAAAATAATTTCAATTCAATTCAATTCATGTTTATTTACGTGCAAACTTAACAGAACAGAGGCCAATTACAAAGCTAGCACGAATAGAGAAATACACAAAAATAATTAAATAAATAAAATACAAAAATTGTAGTCTATATTAATTACACAGAATGAATAATATACAGAAGCAAACACACACATACAAAACCACAATGTGAGAATTTGAGTTTCAAATAGAGAAGCATACAATAATAATAATAATAATAAAATTAATAAAAATAATGATAATAATAATTATAATAACTCTATCAACATAAAACAAACCTATCACTG